TTAACATGCAAATGAAGCTCTGAAAATCATGCTATAGGAGGTGCCAAACCAACTAAACAAAGCAAGCATATCATGCAACCAAGCCCAACGCCTAAGGCTCACCAAAGAGGCATTGGACTACACTTATCAAGACCAAACATGGCATGATTTAAGCAACTAAAATCAGGGTTTTAGCATGTCAAAATGAACCCCAAAAACCACTTAAATGACATCTAAATGACTTACACATGGAAGCATGCACAAATGCACTTTCAACGAGCGTGAAACACAAACTCTTAAAACATCAAAGAGCCATGAAATGCAAGTATACAAGCATGCTAAGTGGACTGAAATGACATGGAAAATAGTCCCAACTCACTAAATCAAAGCAAGTAATGCATGCTATACACTCACATACTTGAAGCCCACAAGCTAAAATGCAAAGGAACTATGCAATGCATGCTAAAGTCGACCCAAACAACTAAGGACAGACCTTAATCATGGCAAAATAAACATGAAAGCTTCACAAAGCCAAGCCTAAAACATGCTAGAACAATGGTTTACAACCTAAGGCATGTTAAGGGAACAAGATGGCATTACAAGGCATGTATGCTAAGCAAGCATGGTGTACCAAAACCAACTTAAAACAATGCTATTTCATGGCAAAATAAGCATAAATAACAGCTAAGGCATGGTCAACAAGAGCCTAAGCTAGGTGCTCCCTCAAGAGGCAAAAATGGTCCTTTTCAAGGACAACAAGGAGAGGGGGTGGCCCTCTCCTTCTTGGGACCTCAAGGCACCATCCTTACCTCTGAAATCCCTCAATATTTCAGTTGTGAGGAGGCCCAAACACCAAGGTCTCGGAACTCACCCAAAATGGCACAAAATGGAGCCTTACAAGGCTTCAGAGGGGTCAAACAACCCCAAAGCTTGAAGCAACCTTAAACAACTATTTAGAGGGCCTAAAAATAGAACTTTTTTATGTTATACATAAAGCTCAAAAACAGTTTCAAGATAGGCTAAAAAGCTACGCAAGAATGGGGTAAAAAGGGACAAAAGTCTTACCCTTGTAGACCCTCTTCACAAATGGTGGACCAGCTGTCTCCTTAGGTCCAAACCAGCTTCAAAACTCTGAAAACAATCCCCTAGAACCTCAATAGCCAAGGGAAGGTGTAATAGTAGGTGTTTGTGTACAAAACAAAGGCTTAAACACACACAATACAAGAGAATGAGAGATATAGATATAGGATAGATACAAAACCCTAAACCTAGAACCAAAGCTTCTCTAACAATGTTTTCTAACCCTAATGCCAAGAGAGGAGCCCTCTTCTTATAGGCAACTCCCTCTTCTAAGGCTTCCAAAACAAGCCATCCAAGAGGGAAATCCCTCCATACACGTGTATGGAGGGGAGCAAAGTGGGTGCCAGCTATCACAGTTGGCACAAAATATCTACTAAAAGTAGATGAACAATGATCGGCCATTAAAAATTTTCATTTTGGCAAAATAAATGGCCGACCGACAACAAAGAGTGCCGACCGGCAATATACATTGCCGATGGCATAAAATCACTGGTCGGTGGCCTCGAGCCATGGCCGGTGATGTGTGGGGATGCCTCACAAGGCATTCACTGTCCCTCCAAGGCAAAACACAAGTGTTTGGTGCAAAACCAGACACAAAACAGTCGAGTCGAAAGATCCTGAGGCAAGGCGCGCGACCGAGACCTCCGGGAACTCAAGACGAACACAAACAAGGGTAATCACCAAGTGTTCCAATGGTGACGTCCAAGTCTTGAGGACGGTCAAAAATGGGGTGTCTACAGCATGACACCTCGCTTCCTTTATCTCAATCTATCCATCATGACATAAAAGACAAACCAAGAACTCTCAAAATAATCCCTAAGGACCATACATTTGAGCATATACATTACATCAACCATGTACATCATGTCTAAAATAGAGGACTGCCAACCCTATAAATTCCTAGCTCATAATGACTAAGTAAGGAAAAACTTTCTTTTGGACCATTGATCATGCCTCTATGGTCTTCACCGATTATCGTTGGCCCATAATAAGTCGACGAAATCTAAGAACCACTATTTGGATAACTATTTTAGGACGTAAAAGATTTATTAGAACTAGTAATCCTTTGCGCTTCTATCTTTTCGCCATAAAAGCGTAAGGTAAATCCCTATAGATATACTTATCCAATTCTCCAATGAGAAGTTGGTTCACAATGTCCACAAAGTAAAGTTTCGAACTAATGTCAATTATACATAAGTCAAAGTAAGTCTCACTCCTTAGGAGGAAGTCTTCTCATGGTCAACACCTTCCGTAATGGTGTGAATTTTCGGTATCTAGCAAGTCTTATGCCTCGAAAATGACTATTCAAATCGCACATAACTTTATAACAGTTTCACATCATAGCGAAAGTCAACCAAATCCTAAAAATGGTTAATCTTTAAAGATTTCATCTCAAAATGCGCAATATTGATCCACTTTCTAAAAATAGGGGACTAGAGAGCCTTTGACACTATTCTATTCTCTTTATCATTTTGCAGAGTAATCATAAATGTTTCCCTCTCAATCACCTAGGGATAATGTGAAAAGATTTCACATTCGCTACCACGCAACTAAGAATGTAGAGTATTCTTCTCTAATGGAGCAATCCACTAGTAAACATGTTGCTCCCACTGTCCCTAAGATATTGGAAATTTCTTTTCATTCTCAACTAGGCTACATAAAGTGCCATATGTAGAATTCTCTATCTTATAAAGTTCCAAAACTCTATTCATGTCACCTGTTCTAAGAAAACTTTATGTGACCAAATGCGCCAATGTAGATGCCTTTTTGCTGCTTTCTAACATACTTGTGCATAGCCATTGTAAACAAAGTTACACATTCACATGAGAGCAAGATATCACAAGCGAGTGGGCCTAGGAGGGCCTACTCAAACCATCCATGTCACCTTCTCGTCAATGTGACTAAGTACCATAAGCCCCTAGTTCATGACTAATGTCATAAACTAATTCCAATCATCCTAATGTATGAGTTCTCAATGACAAGTGTAAAGGTTTAGGCCCAACTAGGTAATGACTCATGACTAACTAATGTTCACTAGATCATAAAAGAATGTCATGGAGATATGAAGTGTGCCTAAGTCACAAATTTAACTAATAAGTGCTAGTCCCTTGCACCTTCAAGTTAATTTTATTCTCCATACACTTTACTGCATCTAGTTGAAGCATGACTATACTTCTCTTGCCGTCTTTGTTTCTCGCTTCATAGTTAGTTGCAATTAATTCTACTACTCAAATGAAAGAAAGAATAAGGTATTAATCTATGATAGCTCCGGAAGCAACTTAAGCGTGAATTAGGCTAAAAAGTCTAATTCAACACAATGCTCCCACGAGCGATGCGTCATATTCTTAGAGTCATAACAACCTTATCGGCCTTAATCTTTTTATTACTATGCTCTAACTTTTGCGCTTAGTGGTAAATGTCATTCAAAAGTGTTAGCCTAGCTAAGGAATCATACAAAGAAGAACCTCCTTGTATCTCACACTCAAGTGTGGAAACAGTAAGTGTCCAAATTTGGACAAGTTGGAAGTGCTAATAGATTTTGCAACCACTAGGCTCTAATCTTCTCACTTAGTGTTAATAGATTTTTGCATCTTCTAAGCACTAATCTTCTAACTTCAAGTGATACTTTAACGCACACTATCATAGTGCGTGAAATTTTGCTCTATCCACTCCCATCAGTTGGGTAAAGAGGAAAACACTGCTCATACTAGCTACTCGTCTTACACTTAATGACTAACTCATTTAAGCTTGCATTTCTTGGATGACGTGACACTTAGATGTTGCTTCATCCAATGATGCAACATTATTACAAGTCAAATTACAAAGTCAATCTACGCAGCTCAATATTCAGGATCATATCTAGATTTATTGAGGGCTTACTAATTTCATAACTCCAAACTCGTCAATCAAAACTACTTAGCATGCCGCTAATCATAACGCAGACATTAGTTTTTATTGCACCAAACAAGGCAACAAAACCACAACGACGTTTAGTCATGTTTCTTTACTTTGGTTCAATTAAGGTCTGACTTAAAGTCTCCAAGACTTTCTGCTTATCTAAAGAATAGGATTAGATTGTTCACATTTGAGCATTTCTGCTAAGTCTAGGTCAACCAAATTAACTTCCACATGCTAAGTCAATTAGAAGAAAAAATGCGCATTGGAATTAATTTGATTACCATATCATAATATAATTTTACCGCAAAAATCTAAAGTAAATAGTTACAATATTACACAAGTCGCAAAATCAAAAATCCGCTATACTCGTAATTATCTCTTGCGCCATAAGTGACAATTATCCAAAATTTAATTTAATTCATACGTAAAAATATTGATTTTCGAAAGTAAATCTACGAAGATTTCTCCCAACCAAACAACCTTCCACTAACTATGGCATGCCTAAAGTATGATAAAATATTAATTCCATACAATAGCATCTCTATGTGAAGTCATAAAAAAATAAAAAATAAAAATGCTAGAATATTTAATCATGGAATTAAAATAAACCAACATAAATAAATCATGCTATTTAAAATAACAACATATTCTGATTATTTAAAAGAACTTAACATGCTATATCATGCTCCCCCATGAGCAATTTAACGTAAAAATATTGAATTATTTATTGATGAAAAATATTTTATTTTTCAAAAAATTATGAAACTTTAACATGTTGTTGAAAACTGAATTACGAGTCCAATGGTATACGTCATGCTTCAATCAGAATATAACAAATAATTTGAAAGTAATTAACGTAGTTTTTAAATTAAAACCAAACAAACAGAGCCTTAATAGTGTCTAGATCAGCGCTTACCTAAGTGAATGACGTTAGCGCACGTGTCAGTGTCGATGACATCAGCAAATTTGTCTTTCTTCTCTAATGGCTCCAACTCTTATAAAAAATTAGGATTCAATCGTAAGTCGAAATTAGGCTCTTTATATACTATTTCGAAGGTCTTGAAATAAGGATTTCAAATATAAAATTTTCACAGCATGAAAACAAAGCATGTAAAACTAGCATGCAGTCAAAGTTACGAAAATCAGATATAAATCTCAATTTTTCTCAAAATTCGACTGTCCGATTTTTGCAAAACATTGTAGATATGATCCAAATAATATAGACTACATATATAAAATTCAGGACGATCAGAGATGGTTCGAAAAACATCAATTTTATGCACAAATCATATCTATACATATATTCATGCACAAATAACACAAAAACACCTAATATTGGCTCTAATACCAATGTAAGAATATTTATACATAGAGGATTAGCAGATTAGTGGATTCAATCCATACCTTTTACTCTCAAACCGAATCCATGGATCATATGAGTAAATCACGTGCCTCCATTGATGTCTTCGGGCAATTCCCAACAATGGAATATAACAATTAGAGAACTAGCTATACTATTTACAATACAAAGGTTATCTTGTATTGCTATAGAGAGAAAGAATAGAGAGTATAGGAGAGAGAGATAAAGATACTGATTACCTATACGGTTAAAATTTTACTCTCCCAAAAATAATATGTATATTATATAGGAGAGTTATGATCACCACAACTCTATCTCTTCAAGAGATGAGATAGTGAGTTAATCACACTTATTCCTAGGATAAGTTAATCCAAGTCCACTTTGACTAGGTCTCCTTATGGGTCTTGGGTCATACCACTATAGATGAACCGATCGGGTATGGATTGTAAACCCTAATTTCCAACACACATTAATTTACATTTTACTATGATCACTAAAAATCACTTACAACTTTAACTAGGTACCGGTTTCAGCAAGTTATCCTGACCACCTCTCTCTATCCGCTTGGCTGTGTTTCATGGCCACATTGCAATCAGCAGCAATTGCATTTTTCCTAGAGCCAAACCCAGAAGCTTGGAAATTACATTCGTATCTTGAACTCAGTTGTTGTTTATATGCGGTAAGTATTTTAAAAGCAATTTATTTTGTTTTATGAATGTGAAGATCATTGAATTTGAATTTTAAATGAAATTAACAAACAGGGAATAGTGGGATCGACAATTTCATTCTTTGTTCAAGCATGGTGCATTTTGCGTAGAGGTCCACTGTTCTCTGCAATGTTCAATCCTTTGTGCACTGTTATAGTGACCATTTTTGCTACTATATTCTTACATGAAGAGCTCTATGTTGGAAGGTATTATTATCTCAACTTCTTGTGTTTTGATTTTAAGTTTCAAAATTGAAAGTAATTCAAAGAATCATGTTTTCAGAGTTAAAAAATTATTAGACATTAATAGAAAAGTTTATCATTTTAATAATTAATATTTATATTGTTTACCTATTTTTTGTGATTTTTTTTTTTCTAACATCCACTGTGGAGTAATTTTTCAAAAAATAAACATGTCCATTTAAAAACACCTATTACTAATGTTTATGTTGAAAATGTTTGTAGAATTCTATAAACAGAGGGCTACACCTATCCATTATTTTCAACATTGCAACCTCTTTGGTCAATTTGCCCTTTTGCTATATTATTTTCTTAGACTACGCCTTTTGCCCTTTTGCCCTTTTGCCCTTGATGTTTCAAAAAAATACAACAAATCTTACAATTTTGACATAGTTATATTGGATTCTCTTAAGATCTTAATTCACATAACACTTGATCTTATTTTATCAATAATTCGTTAATCATATGGATGGAAAAAAAATAATGTTATCATCTATTTTGCATTGAAATGCATAATTTTCCTTATGTTTTTATGTTTTTCACACAGTCTGTATTAGTTTGGGTCTATTTAACATTACTAAAAGGGGGTCAGTATAGTTATACTAAAATTGTAGGCATTGCCATATTTTTTAAAATCTTAGGAGAAGTTAGTGTAATTTACCCTATTTTTCTATCATATTTCGTAATTTTTTGGACATCATCAGAAATACTTGTTTGTCACTGATTGTGCAACGTGACAAATACTTTAAAATTTGGTTGCATCTTCAATCGGTATGTGACCTTGAGTAATACAACTTTAGAACAACAACTGTCATGTCTCTCATCAATTTGTTAGGCTATATTCCTTAATTACATTATTCTTTTTTCTTTATTTTTTGCTCCATGCATTTGATTGCTGATAAATTTGTGATAGTTTTTATTTGTTGGCATCTAAAATTGGTTTCTATTGCTTCAGCTTAATGGGTGGTGTTGGTGTGATTCTTGGATTATATGTTGTGCTATGGGGTAAAGCCAAAGATCTTCAAGAGTCAAAAGTTGACAGAGATCCAAAGTTGGAAAATGATCAAACAAAAATAGTGCAAACCTTGGTAGATGAATCTGAAGAGAGGATGAGTAGTATCAAAATTGATTTGGAGGAACCTCTTCTATCTGACAAATCAACAAAAGCTGATGATAGTTAGAACTTAGGAGAATACTTCTCAAATTTCTATATTCGACTTTCTTGTTAGTAGACTCCAACAATAACAATAGGATTATTTTTTTCCTGTATATTTTTTTTATTTTAAATTTTGCTTTATGTTTAATTTGGATTACAGATTTTGTATAATTCTCAACATTCTATTCATTTCAACTGTATTTTTAGGTGTTACGAAAAAAAAAATTACAATAACATGCATAAAGTAAAATGTCAACGATAACTCATTGGATGTTCAATTAAAAAAATTCAAGTTATACTAACACATGAATTGATCTTCTTATCATAATGTTAATAGGATTCATTGGAATTTTTATTGAAAAAGTTTTATTTGATATTTTTTCCAAAATAAATAAGCTCACCAAGAAGGTAAAAAAAAAAAAAAAAAGCACACACACACACAATGTCCCGAAGCGAACATTTTAATTTGATTTTAAATTTAAGTAAAAATTTTAATATGAATTATTTTAAAATTTTCATTAAATTTTTATCAAAATCTTTTTAAAAATTTCAAAATTTTCTTTTAATCAAATTTGATGAAAAACAATCATCTCCAATGCCTCATTAAAAAAAAAAAATCAAATCAATTTGATGAAGGATTTGATGAGTTTTCAATTTGATGAGAAAAAAAAATGACTCTTTCTTGATTTGATGGATATTTGATAAAATGATTGGAGATAATTTTTGGATACGTTTTTATTAAATTCAAATTTAATGAAAGAGAAGATAAAGGGTTAGAAATGTTCTATGCTATCAAATTAGGAGTTCGGATCATCGGCCGCACTACCCTACGGCCCTCCCTGCCGCGCTTCCCAAAACGACAACATCGTTTTGTTTAGTGTTATTATTATTATTATTTTCCCTTAAATTCGACTTCTGCCTAGTGCCCACCCTCTCCACACATCTTCTTCTCTTTAACATCTTCTTTTCTCTCTCTACAAACTTGCCTGCAATTTCTTTTGTGGGTATTGTTCTCAACCTCCATTGAACATTCAAACCAAAAAAAGGAAAACAGAAAAGAAAAGCAGAGCTGCCGGCACCGACGTCCCTTTCCCACCTTCCCTCGCTGGCATCCAATTCTATTGCACCACAGCCAAGCCCCTCCATGATTGCTCATAACTGATTTTTTTTTTCCCCCATCTAATTTCCCTTCTCTGTTTGGTATCAAAACCATGAACCTTTCACTGAACAACTTCAATGGCAAAGTGAGATTTGGAAATGTGTTTTTCTTCATATTTACAATTTCAATTTTAACACTTTAAATGCCCAAAATTTCATAAACCCATCTCACAAAATCACCAAAAAAAAAACACAAATCCATGGTTGTGGACATGTATTGCATGTACAAGAAGAGAGAGAAACATAGAAATCTAGAAACAAGGAAAAAATATCAATGGAACAAGGCATTAACTCTTCAAAACTCTTTATATTTTCTAGATCACAGTTTCAATTCGATCTCACACGTTAACAATGGCCGATCGAGCTCACCGCCGAGATTTTCCCTCCATCTTTCTCCGGCGAAGATCTCACACATCAATAAGTGACCTGTCGAACTCGCTCGCTGCCGTTCTCCTCTCACCGATCCGCCGCTTTACTCTTCCCGTCGTCTCTATCTTTTGACTTCATTGCCGCTCCATTCGTCTCGCTAGGGCTCAAAAACGAAAATATGCTAAATAAGAATGAAGGGGAAAAAAAATTTATACAAAAAGACGTCGTTTTGAAGCGCCGCAGGGATAGCCCCAGGGTAGTGTGGCCAATGATCCGGACTCATCAAATTAGAGTCAACCAGTCTGGATCGGTTTTGGATCATGAATTTATTGATGGTCTTATTCTAATAATTTAATTAGGTATTTTTTTAAGTCTTAGGATTGTTTGGGACGTGTTTGGCTATGCAAGATGCATATCATATGCACAAATTCTCACAAATATACGTAAGTTGTGATTTTTCAAACTTTTGTATATATGTGAAAACTTACATAATTTTGTGAGGTAACTTATGTATATTTGTGAGAACTTATACAAGTGCATATGGTATATGTACTTGCGCACTTAAGATTTGCCCACTCTGCAATAGCATAATTTTTATCTTTTTGAGTCACATCACTTCTTTACTTTTCTACACATCTTTTCGTAAAAAATCAAAAAATACACTTATTTAGATTATCCTAAACAACCCATTAATGTATGTTGTGCACATGAAAAATGAGATTGATCTAATAATTGCAACTCATGATTTAGTTACATTTGTGTTAAGAGTATATACTATATGCATCTTATAACTAAATAAGAAAATTGTATAATTTTATACTTTCTGAGTCATAACTAAAATTAAAAAATAAAAGTTATAACCAAACACTATGAGGCATAACCAAAGATCTCATGAGTTATAACTAAAATAATGTCATAATTATAGAAAAAAATTGAAAAAAATGATATAATTAGAGGTATATATGGCACACCCCTTTCAAAAGATATGTATATTTAGTAAAATTTCTCTAAAAAAACAAATCAAAATTATAATTCTAAAAACAGATCATTCATTTTTCATAAGATAAATTACACTGCAAACTCAAGTGAAGAAAAAATTGAAGAGCATATAGAAGAAGATCGCTATGAAAGTAGTAGCATCAAGAACATTGAAAATTCGAAAGACGTCAAGTTCAAGAGATTAAAAATGCATGCGAGCAATATCCAAGGAGTTGAACAAAACGAGAATGTGAAAATTTCAAATTAAGATATAATTTTAATTTTGCAAAATATTTAAAGAATCTAAAATATTTTGGAAGGTATGATGTTTAGAGTACCTAGATGATTCTAGTTTGACATTTTGGTTATTTTAGCCTGATTAAAAAAAAAAATTATTTGAAAGAACATTTGATTTGATTTTATATATATATATATATAATTTTGTAAGAAAAAAATAAAATAATTGTGATTTTAATATGATATTTTATCTTATTTATTTTATTTTTTAGTGAGTTAAATTAATTTCAACCTACTTTTCGGAGGAGGCTTAAAAAGTTTAAGATCCCAAGTGAGGGTGTTAAAGAAGTCTCTACAAAAGATTGAGAGAAAAACCATTCGGTGGCAGTGATGGGGAATTATTTTTGAAGAATAAAATTTATATTAGGGAGATTTGGCTAGAGATCCAATTTTAAGAACTTCTTTGAGGTTGGGTCCTGACAATTTTTGTTTTTATTTTTTATTTTTTTAATTCCCCAATGTCTCATTAGTATGATTATTCCAAAAATACCCCCAGTAAAAATCAAACCCTCAAATGAGTTTTACATTTGAAGGTAGGACTACCCCTTAAATGAGTTTTACAAATTGGACTTTCAAGTGATTAGTCCCATTATATTTTTTAATGCATAATAATAATGATTTATAATTTTTTTAATGTTCATAATATAAACAACATTGGTTCGTAACTTACCAATACTAGTTTGTAAATAAAAAAATTTCTATGTTGAGCTCCTTTCTAAATTAATTCCAATAGTTGGTATTTCTTTATTTTATAATTTGGTGTCCGATCGACTAATTTAGGAGGCAAATCTCGGGTAATTCTATTTACACATCTCACATAATCTCAATATACACCACTTACTTAGTGCACATCAAATACAATTTTAATTTTATTATTTTTGCTCATTGCACACCATTCATTTTCAAATATACCTAAAATATCCTTATCTTCTTCAACCACCCCACCAACCCTAACCCTAGCCATCGCCACGGCTGTCATTTCCTCTTCCTTCTTCTCCGGTGAATCTCTTTCTCACTCTTCTATCCATCACTCATCCTGCTTCATCATTACCAGGCTCACTCCTAAACCCTTTTCCACCCCCTTCCTCCCTCCACCACCTCCCCATTGTTGCTGCCTCAACCTCTCGTCCCACCCATTTCCTCCTTCTTCTTCTTCTTTTCTATCTCTAGAAACTACCAAACCCACTCCCACCACCGTAATCCTCCCTCTACAGTGATCTTTCCCAACCCATCGGAGAGGAGTTTCTCGTCAAAGGCAACTGCAGTGGTGAAGCTTCGATTCGAAGCTTGAAATCCTAGATTGGAGCTTCAAATTTAATTTGCACGATTGAACTCTTGCAAACCCTAGATCTAGATCTGAAAATCATAGGATTTTCTCTCTCTCTCTCTCTCTCTCTCTGTGATGGAGAAAAATAGGCAATGACCGAGGTAGAGGGCTGGGTTGTTTGCTGGTGGGGGAGGGAGGAGGGTTTGCAGAGAGGAAAGTTGTCGCTGGCGAGGTAGAGAGGTTATGGGTGTTACGATAGTGGTTAGGTTTCAATGACGGTGGCCGGGAATGAAAGTAGATGGCGGAGACTGATGATGGGTGGTGGTGCCCAAGAGAGTCTAGGGTTAGAATTATGTCCAAAATGGTAATTTGATAAAGGGATATAAGTGTAATAAAAAAAATTATGGAAATGATATGTACTGAGAAGTTTTGTGATGTATAAATAGAATTACCCGCAAATCTCATCGTTCACTCATGGAGATCCCAATTAAAGTTAGAGTAAAACTCTATATAGATTAATCCTAAAAAATTATTTACACTTAAAAAGTTTTGAGCCTAATACTTTAGGGGTCTCAATTAAAGACAGAATAAAACCCTATATGGACTGCCCCTGCATGGTATTCTGCATTTAAAATTCAAATTATTTGTGCATTTATAAATTGTCACAGTTGTGTCACAAATTCAAAATTGCTAAGTGATACCTGTACTTTGCTCAATCACATACTCCAAAATTACATTAATATGTATATATACACACTCACTAGCAGTGTACCCATACTAGCTACGTTTTAAACAAATAATTAAAATTTAATTTTAAAATTAAATAATAACACAAAATTTATTTGACATATATAGGAAAAATAATTTAGAATCAATTAAATTTTAACCATTTTTATTGGAGATTTATTTATTTATTTATAGCATTAATTGTATGTTCTAAATTTTTAATAAGAAATAAATGTTATAATTTAAGTGATAGAAATTATAAAAAAAAAAAAAAAGGAAAAATACAAAAGTTGCATTTATGATAAAATAAGAATAC